CTTCAACAAATCGTTGCCGTATAGCTGCGATATTGTCGTCCTGTAAGACGGGGATGTTTTCGTCCTGTCGGTGTACAGCGGCGATGTCTTCAGCGGCGTAGTATCCATTATATGGCTGTACACTGGCGGTGTATTTATCATGTTGCCGTATAACTGCGATGTTGTCGTCCTGTTGCTGCACAGCGGCGTAGTATCCATCGTATTGCTGTACATTAGCGAAGTATTTACCCTGTTGCCGTAAAGCTGCGATGTTGTCCTGTAAGGCGGCGATATTTTCGTCCTGTCGGTGTACAGCGGTGACGTCTTCAGCGGCGTAGTTTCCATCACATTGCTGTATATTAGCGGTGTACTTATCAGGTTGCTCTATAGCTACGATGTTGTCGTCCTGTAAGGCGGCGATGTTTTCGTCTTGTCGGTGTACAGTGGCGATGTCTTCATGTTGCTGTGTCGTTTGTTGAGGGCACTTGTTTTGTATGTAATAATCATCATACAGTGCACGATCACTGTCTCCAACAAATCGTTTTATCCACCGACGGACTGGCTTAGTGTAGCAAGGACTATCGACAGTAATATGTGCTACTTCAGCCAGCCACTGTCCAACTGTGCGACTTTTCACTCGCATATTTCGGGATATTTGGACATATCTACCGACTATAGCTATCGCGACACCGTTTAACAGCACCACGTACCATACTGTTGTTTCTCTCTATCGTACATCTCACGAGAAGAACGGAGCACGGTATTAGCCCCACCACTGTTGCTTCACTACCGCTGCCTCACCTAGACTGTATTCGGCAATATCACCCGAGTACCCCAGTCATCATTTCATCCTTGTTGTTCACCGAATGTTAAACAAGGATAAAATGATACACCGGGGGACTCGGATGAGATATCCGAACGCACCCCTACAGTCATCGATAGAGAGTGTGCGCGCCGCCCCGCAGTAGGGGCTGCCCGTTTATTTGCGCGCGTGCGCTTTACACGTTTATAGATACGATCCATTTCTACCGGGGGTGCGCGTACATATATATGTACACAAATATGTACAGGAGGATGTCGCAATATATTATTACGCACTTATTTAGAAATAATATAGATAGATATATAAAATATAAAAGTATATAAAATGGTATATTTCAATATCCTCCTTTTCTTATTCGCTGCATTTGAAATGTGTGACTGCTTATATGTTTGAGTATATGTGTGCATTCGTTTATGTAGCTACTACGGATAGCATCGTTCTGTCTTCGTTGTGCATCAGATATCAGACAAAGATAAAGCGATGCATCTGCGACAATCACTGCGTAACGAATGGACGCTATGTCTGATAGAGAGAAAACGCATGTGTGGAGACTCACATTTATAAAAATTATATATTATTAAGAAAACACACTCGCACACGCACACTCTCTTTTCTCTTTCTCTGTCTCATCGACATAAATGGACGGAACATTATCTCAGCAGGGGGTCAGATTCGCGCGTAGAGGAGGATTATCGCGAGACACTACCGTGTCTCGCGCCAAGTATAAGCGTAGCTAGAACCGCGCGCGTTGGTAGTACTTCGGACAATCCCGTGCTACTCGAGGCTATTCGTATATATTTGATTCACTAATACTATACATGTGTGTATGTACATGTGAACTACGCAAGCTGCCCCAATATATACGAAACTGACCGAATGTATTCGAACTACCAATGTTGACACACCGGTATAACAACGTCGACGTATTGAAACTCTGGCTCTCTTCACCCCTAATCTGGATCCCCACACCCTTTGCTTATCGAGGCACTCTAATGTTTCATCCATATATTCGTGTGTCGATGCTCTGTCTCTTTCACTTTGATGATGAATACTCATAGATTCTCACTTTAGAATGTTAGAGAATATCTCTAGACTTTTCAAAACAGCAACTGCCGAGGAGAAGACGAGATAATTGGTCTCGTCGTATATACGACGATTATAATGTTGCGTAATTAACTCAGTGCCTTATATATTTCTTATACATAAATGTAGAAATGTATTATACAAAAAGAGAATAGATTAAAGTGATTTTTTAATCAATATCAGAGCGAAATTATATACAAAGGTACAAATGTATAGCTATTGTAAGACGGTGCCAAAATAATGAGAACAATAATATGTACAAATACTTAGTCAAAGCTAAAAAGAAAGATGAAGAAATGTAATAAATCTAATAATGGTAATAATAAAATTTAGGAATCTTTATAATATATATATATAAATTTTATATATATATGTGAGTATACACACGCATACGCACACTCATATTAATAGAAAGATCTAATAATTACCTTTATATTTGACATTTTATATGAAAGATCATATTTATATAAAAACGATAGACATGTAGACGGTTCTTTAGCTTATTAAAAAAATTTTTTTTCATGAGTAGCATTTCTTCGTGTCAGTCTCCGTATTTATAGAAAAATTTACTTCTAAATATTGTATGCATGCGTATCAAGTAATGTTACACAAACTACTGTTAATGCAAAAATCGATGGTGAAACTGTCATTTGTAAATAAGAATAACATCAAGTTCCTTCTGTAAATAGTAAAACACGTGTGTTCTGCGGATAAAGATATATTTTTTTACTCATTTTTACGATAAATGACAATATATATTTTTAAAACTTAAGTTCACAAGTGACTCATAAGAGAAGCATTATACGCATTGTAATTGGGATAGTACCTGGGATCTGTTTCACTTACATACATTGTTTCAGTTCACAAGTAGATGTTGCGGCTAAATAAATACCTTTGTTCATTGCAAAAAAGAAGAGAGAAAAATACCATTGTGCTTTTTTTTTTATTTCCCCCACCTGTGCTTATTGTCATTCCCCACAAATCCGATTCTTTACTCGCCCGCGGGTGCCCTTCTTACCGTATGCATGCATGTGGATACTATATTTTTAGATAGCTGTTTCGCGAACAGCTCGCATAGTTCTTTTCTTTATAACATCATATTGGTGATATATATATCGAGTGGAAGAGGCTTATCGTTTTCGCTTTATTACAGTTTTCTCGCGCGCTTCATTCTCATGCATTTCCCTACATTCCTTTGCACATATACATGTAGCAGCAGAAAATGCTCCACGCGTTCTTAACGACACATCTGGTGTAACTTTGCAGGTGCAACAAGGTACCGGTGGACCGCCTACGTCAGGTCTTCAGGGGGTCGGCGTACCGGTCAATCAGCAGGGCATGTTCATGGCGCAGGGTGGTGTAGGTGGTAGAGCCACCGGGTTCCCAGTGGGCGGTATGGGCAGTAGCGCCCTTCAAGGGCCCCTGGCTTACCTGGAAAAGACAACGAGCAACATAGGGATGCCAGAGAGGCGGAGTTGACGCGGAAGGGGGAGGGGCCGGGGCCGGGGTCGTGGAAGAGGCAGAGGTAGAGGAAGAGGCGGCGGTGGCAGCGGCCTACCGCCACCGCCACCGCTTCTCGATCCCTCAGACCCGTCGTCCTATGCTGCTGCTGCCGCAGTTGCAGCTGCTGCGGCGACGCCCCTTCCCTCTCCGCAACAGCAGCCTCCTCCTTGCACATAAACATAGTATGGCAATATATTTAATTTCTTCTCCCAAGGGAGAGAGACTTTTGTACTTTCAAAGTCGAGCACGTTTGGTTGTCGTAGGTGTTGTGTTTTGACGTCAGAGTGTTGACTTGAATGTGCTGCGTCACTGGTGACGACGATAGCGATGATAATGATGATAACTGAAGCGCAGTTGATATGCGTTACAGTTATATTGTAGAAATGGACACGATGCATACAAATATTTAATTTATGAGCTTATTAAGGTCTCAATGGCAAACACGTTTATGCCAGTTTTATTGTGATCCAGTTTTGGATATTTATACGTTACGATTACGAACATTCTTTCGCATTTCTTCCCGGGTTCCCAGGTACGCGAAAGATATGGACGTTTTATATTCTTTGTACTAGTCGCGCGGATTAAGGTAGGGGCGAACTTATGCGGAACGCACGAAATTGCGACGCAGAGTGAGAAAAGTATGATAAATACTTTGTAATTAAAGCGGCAATAAGACAGTTGTGTATATTTAATAACAAGATTATGTACGACGTGAACAACATGATACTGTTACTCGTACACATAGGGGTGAGGATATCTTCCTATTTCTTTACACTACATTGTTAGTTTAAGATATTGATTCTCCGAGAGATCGCCGACACTTTTATAATAAACTGCGTTCATCGCTTTTGCAGTGCCTTTGGACACTTATCAAATGTACTGTTTGTGCGATATCAATAAAATGTACATTGCCTAATGTACTGTGCAAAATCAAAATGTATATTACGTATGTTGGTCGTACTAATACAAGCACGTTTCCGTCCTGGATAATTGCGTACAAACACGAAATTTTTATCCGCGATTGCACAAATTTTCAAATGATTCTTCAAAGCGTGACACTCACTCTGTGTGCCTGTAACTAATGTACATACACTTACGCATTAGATATAGACACATTAGTGCATATAAAACGAGCAATTTTAAGATGCAATCAAAATTTCCAAGGGATCTTAAGTATATCTTAATAACTTTTTACTAATATATTTTTAGTTTTTATAAGTATGCGATATGTTCTATGAATGTGTACATTGTTATAAAAAGTATAATAACAATTTTAATACTGTGATACTATAAAACAATCAAATACTAACTTAAACACAAAATGTGTAAAATACAAATATTTATAATTATTAACAATTACTACAAAACATATTAGTATTACTTGCAATTTATTTATTTTAAATTAGAAATAGATATGTATTACTCGGATACATTGTTTTAGGCAATTTTATGCTCGTTTTTTATGTAATGTGATAATAAAAAAATGGTACATATGAATTATTAATTTGATACGACACTATGGATACACACATATGTATATTTTTTCATATTATTAGGCAATTGCTTATTTTTATATTACGTCTTTTGCACGTCCAGGACAGAATGCTTATATTAGTTGCTATTTTTTTAGATCTGACGTACTCATATACATAGAATTATGCAACTCTTATCCTGTACAATATTATATTGTATGCACTGTAGTATACATACATATATATATGATACGAATGTTACTTATATACATATACAGAGCACGCTTTTTTATTTTCATTATTCCAGCTAGTTTAAAATCCTGATTGTAGTAAGGTCTTCAATAATCTTTATTAAAAGAAGAGCTCGGCTTTACACAAAAGCAATTCGACTGTACAAAATTGTAAAAGAGTTACAAACTTATTTTAAAAACTGCAGTTTTATATATACGAGCCATCGAACGTGATAGTCGTATGTATCAAAGGGATTGTCTTAATTTGTAATGAAAATTGTATTTTATATAGGGGAACGGTGTCTAATGGAGGGAAGATCTTGCTGTTGGATTTTTTTTGGAAAATGGGATACAGATGAATTTAAACAAAAGGGTTAGATTAGATTGAAGCTAGATTAATAGAAATAACTTTATGACAAGTTTTCCAAATATACTCCTGTATATATCAAAATGCAATGAATACATAAATCATAAATTTTACAACACCAAACGTATCTAGAGATGTCGGAATTTATCCTTAACAAAAACGTTCTGAAAATGAGCAGCTTCACATCTGGATGTTAAGTATTCTATTTCAGACATCCTTTTCTTTACCGCATGTATACATTATTTTTACGGGTTATATAGTTTAATCATAATATAAGAAGTGGTAACTTAAAAGGTATAGGCACTGCCTAATATGGTGAGGTATGACAATTTTGAGTCCGGGGATCGTATAATCGTCAAGTATTTCGATAACGATCTGTCAGATAGAAATATAACTATTTGAGATATATCATCTATCTATATCTTGATGTATCAAATATATCAAGAATTAAAAATGTATATGTATAAACCTTCATTACTTAATATATATGTTCTTTAAATATTCTTATTATAATGGCAATGTATTTCCATAGCATGCAGAAATCACGATCTCTGCTAGCATTCCTTATATTTTGTTAGAATTTTCAACTCACGTTTCTATGTCTATTCAGATTCGTGATATTAAATATATATTTCCAAATCATGTTAGAGTTAGAACACGTTCAACCTACTATCTTCGATCTTAAACTCTCGTAGGAACCTGATCGATGAGCTTGTTATCTCTAGCGAGACGTTAAAAATGCTGGTACTGGCCTGCGGTAAGTTGTTTATGCGTTTTATCACTGAACGTTATTATTTCAAGTCTGATTAGATCGTCCTATATAATCCCTCTCCATATTAGGCGCAATTCCCCTATATGTATATCTCTATATACATATCCTTCTGTGTAAACTTGAACATATGTATGTATAGAAAATTACAAGAACCCGTTTGACGCGCGAGTTTACGTAAAATGACCATCTGCAGACTGTTTAACAGAGCGCCTGTAGGAATTGTATAAGCGTACGTGTCGGGCGCCCGGTCATTCCGGCCGGAATATACGGTAATTCGTCGTGGGCAGGGCCCATGACACCAGCTATGTCCAGATGCATCCACGGTGTATCCTTGCTGACGAACTCCCTCAGGAAGGCAGCGGCGGTGCAAGAGCCACCGCCCTTGCACTTGGCGAGGTTATTTATATCGGCACCCTTGACTTTTTCTGAAAATTATCACGACAAAGATTTTTAAGTTTAGTAAGCAACGAATAGTAACAGGTAAAGGACAGTATTCCTTTGTTAGATATATATATATACAGAAAGAAATTTCTAAAATAATCCGATAAAATATAAAAAATGGATAACGTAGTTGCGTGTCCTTGGATCACTCACTCGTCACTTCATCCGTGAAATGCTGCCACAGAGGGAATCTCCATACTCGATCACCGGTTACCGTGCCAGCATTTCTCAGAGTTTCGTAAAGGTTGCCGTCATTGGTAAACACTCCAGTCGCTGAGTTCGATAAAGCGACTCTCATGGCACCGGTTAATGTAGCGATATCCAAGATAAATCTATACAGATAGAAGAATTATCAGTTTACAATTCTTTCCAATATCTGCTGCAATACATCGGTCAAATATGATGCAATGCATAACGTGAGTGATAATATGAGAGAATTTATATGGGCATTTTTCCGTAGTTTAAAAGTACGTTAATAAAATAATTAGAATCCAAAAGATGCAGTTCTCTCATAATATCCAGGCTTACGCAATTGATCTTGATCAAACCTTGGATTAAATCGCTGAGCGTAGCAAAGCGCGTCGGCGAGAATCAGCCTGCCTTCCGCGTCGGTGTTGTCCACGATGATGGTCTTGCCGTTCATCGCCTGCACCATATCTCCCGGCTTCGTGGCATGTCCGGACGGCAGATTCTCCGTAAGCGGGATCAGCCCGATGATATTTTTCTTCAGTTTGAGTTCGGCGGCGGCTCGGATGGTGGCGGCCACGCAGGCGGCGCCGCTCATATCGGCGCGCATCTCGTCCATCTCCGACGATGGCTGCGAACAACCGTACGTTCTTAAATCTTATTTCTTCTTATATTGTTTTTGAAAAAGGAGAAAGAGAGAACCACTCACCTTAAGGCTAATGCCACCGGCATCGAAAGTGACTCCCTTACCGACGAACGTCACCGGCGACTCGCTCGGATTATCAGCGCCCTTGTAATTGATCTCGATGAACTTGGGCGGTTCGGTGCTGCCTCGCGCCACGCTGAGAAACGAGCCCATCTTCTTCTGCTCGGCCCAGCTCTTGTCGTGCACCTGAACGTCGACCCCGAGATGCGTTAGGGCCTCGAAGACCCGTTGCGAAAATATCGTGGGCGTCATCAGGTTCGCGGGTGTGTCTGACAGCTCGCGAGCCCAGTTCTGCGCCTGGGCTTTAATTGTGCCGACTCGCCATTCTGCCCTTTAAAAATAAATCGTTAGTTTCGCATTCATAAAACGAAATGTAGATTTTACAGTTTTAATGGGTGTCTGACGAGCATGAAGAAAAACATCACTTACTCTCCTTCATCTCCGTACAGCGAGATCTTTGGTAACTTCTTTTTCTTCTCCTCATTTTTATATCCTTGATAAAGCCACGTGGATAAACCAGCTCCCTCGGCGGCGGCTTCCGCATCTCCTAGCGTTTCAAGCTTGATGTCTTTTATCTCCACGTCATCTAGTGCACGGCATCCCGCTAGAACAATGAAGCTTTAATAGAATCTATATATAGTACTTTACAATAATACGCTTTCTCTTTAATAATTTTCATTTAAAATCTACAAAGAACAATGGAAATTGCGGTATTGTAATTACGCCACAAGCTTAAAAGGAAACTAATGTAATTCTTTAACAGAAATAACATGTTAAAACTAATAAAATAAACGTATCAAAATTGTTCCACAGCATATTGAAATGTTGATTTTAAGGTACGATCTAGAGAGATTTGAATAACAAAGTGGAACGGCTGTATCTGCACGATACATATTTTGAATAATAAGGGTACCTGCTGCAGCAGCACGTACGCTTTCCTTTCCTTCGTGGATCTCTTCAAGTTTGTTAACACCAAGGCCCTGCTTCCCCAGTCCAACTACCGCGACCCCGGCGTAATCTGTTTCATCCAAACCCCAAAACACTCTAGCATGACCTTTAGGGATCTTTGGTCCTGCTCTGTAGCGTAAACATTCGTTCGAAATTAGTGAGAAGATCCGACCGTGACAATTTAACGAGGAAAGATACGCGACAGTAACGCACTTGAGTAGACAGAGATGTCCAGACACAAATTCATAAATTTATTAATTACAATAGAATCTAGGCGTTTCTTTTGACATTCATCGTGTACTTGCAATTTTAAAATACACTCTAAAAATATACTATTTCTTTATTCTAGAATACTCGCCCAATCCGTCCAGTTATACATTATTACATCGGTACATTTACAATTACTCACTTCGGAGATTATGGCTACACATTAATTCACAACTGCTGCTTTTCTGAGCTACGGTATCAGCGTAGATACGCATTACATTACGGAACTGTTTATTTTTCACATTCAGTTCTCACTAACACTGTTGAAACGAGCATTATTACAACCTATTTAGCGGCTTAAGATATAATTACAATGAAATATCCGTTGACAAACTTCATTATTAATTTGTTTTATATACAACAACGCTATAAGTAGTAATGTGACTTTGTCATGGGGTTTAGTTGGCATAGTTGTATAGCGAAGTAGAATTAAATAGGTAAAACAGATTTGCATACGATTATATGTTTACTGCAAACAGGAAACAAGATTAATTGGTTCTTATGACAGAAGTTTAAAGTTTCTCTTATAAGAACAATGAAAATGTTAATTACACTCACAGTTTTATCAATTCCACACATTTCGAAACCTATGCGAGTTGTTCTAGTCGCAAAATATGTTCATTTTTCTATTTGCTCTTTGTACATTTTCTCCTTTTTACAATAACCCGCTTCGCTTTCATTCTGTTCTTCAGTTGTTCAATATTCAATTAGGCTAACATTGTAGTTTTAAAAATAAAATTAAACATAAAGGCGATAATGTAATCATGTAAAAAAAAATTGATATACGAAAAAAAAAACGCCACAAATCTCGAAATTTCAGTAAAAATATGCGCTATCTATATGTACCATTATCGGTGCAAACAATTTGTGGGACGTTGATTATTCCTTATCATGTCTCTGTTTACAGGATTGTGCAATCACGGTACCACCAGGTCAATTCAAGTTGAAAATTATGTTAGTGACTGCTTGCAAAAAAATGTTTTAAATTGTTGAGAGATTTTTGTCACGTCCTAGCGACAACACCGATACTCCATTTATTCATCGATATTCAAAATATTAATATCAACTAGGTGGTTTCTAAGAAAATACAGGTACGATTCGCGTGCGATTGCCAGTCAAAGTTACATATGTATATCAATTTTATATTACATTTTAACATATGCGTATCAGCTTTGATGTTTTCCGTTCCGGCGTTTCCAATGTTTAGAGAACTTAAACGAGTGCACCTCGAATTTACCGTGAAAATTTTGTAAAAAGAAGATTGTGCCCTTATCAAAATCGCGCCTATCGATGATTTCGCGATGGGTCAAGATACCGAAACAATCGCCGCCGCTCAGGCGTAAGAAGCGTTATCGGATAAATCACATATCTCGAACGCACGCATACACCGCTGTAAATTTTTGCGGACTCGAACGCTGCCTCCAAAAGTATTGTACTTATTGCAGTAAATGTCATTCTCACGTCACACGTCAAACATATTTAAAAATATATATATTTATGTATATACATATATTTGCATAAAATACAATTTAGCGAGCGTGCAATTACGGTACCTCCGACGAGTGTATTAAGTATCAATAAAGTAAAATTACGAAAGATCATCGTTTTCGATAAGTTATAGGCAGGGATATTCTCCGAACGTGTTACAACAATGCAAAATTGTTTTATCGTTACGAGTCAGTCTGTTGAGATTAGAATTATATCTAAATTAGATTAAAGGATGTACGAAACAATGTAATAATTAACAGTACCGATTTACCTAATCGTTTTACACCTAGTAGCTGTGCTCGGCATTGCTTATCCAAGGCGTCGGAGTGCTCTTTTGCATTCGAGTGAGCGAGAGAGAGACAGGCGGGAGGGAAAAATGAAATAAAAGGGGAGGAAAAGCACTCCGACGCCTCGGATTTGCAATGACGAATGCAGCTAGTGTACAATCCAGAGAAAATATTTATGCTCTCCGACACATTGAGCATGGACCAAACGAAGATCTCCATTCGCAATGATTTTATTCGCTGATAACGCATCTTTCGATGCTGCTTCCATTCGATTTTTATAGATTACGTTAATAGTAAGAAAAATTCTTCGCGTCATTATTATAACTTATTACGCTATTTAGAATGATTCCATTGTTTCTCGTTGTTATTCGCGTCTAAAAGAATCACAAGGCAGATACCATAAAATAAAAGGGGTCTAACGAGTGCGAACGTGAAAATACAAGAAACAACAGATTTCTTAAATTCTTATTTTGGTAAGCGTCTCTCTTGAAATATAATTTTGGTAAATATTAATATTAGTGGCGACCTCATTGATTCTTATGTGATGTTAAGGACTGTTTCCAACTCCAGGGTGTCCCAACGAACTCAATGAAAAAAATCCCCTGACCTTTTCAGATTTTCCGGGAGCCGGAACAAATTTTTCCCTGACCGTTCAGTGTAACTTCTTCAAGATGAATAATTTGCGTACATCTGCATGGTAAATCGAGTAAATGTTAATAAATGACGAAGCCTTTGAAATATTCCTTGAAATATTTTTCTCGGGAAACAAAAGTCCGGAATTTAAATTAAAGCAATTATACCATCTATGTATAATACATTGTGTAATAGGAACAAACATACTACAAATTATTCGAACCATTTGTGATACCGTACGTAATCGTACACGATGCTTTAGTTTTGCTTAACTGCATTTTGTTTGCAACTTACTAAATAGTAACTTACTTAGACAGTACTGTTTAGTAATTCATCTTTTTTTTATAGTTTTTGTTGAACACATTGAAATAAAATGACACGACGATAAAAATATAAATTACCGACCACACTTATAAATTAATGTATAAAAGAAATAAATTAATGTTTAGCAAAACAGAATATTGGTGCACTGACAGCCGAAGAAAAGTTTATTTTCTAGAAACTTTAAATTATTCCGAAAAAAAGTGAAATGATGTAAAAAGTTCAGATAAATCGTAAAATTTCCTGACTTTTCCCTGACAATTCTCAGTTTTCCAGATTTCCCCGACCTCTGGACACCCTGAACTTGCAGAAAATTTCAGTCGTTAGACGGCCAAGATTTTCAGCAAGTTATGAAAGTTATTCAGGATCATATCCTTGACCATGACGATATGACAGTATATGAGGAATATTAATATTTACCGTGATTTTTATCGTTATACTTACATTGCTACTTTTGGCTATTCTCTTTATTATTTAGACCCGCTTTAATTTATAGTGATTGAATACGCGTGCGCATATTTCACTCACAATCAACTTCTCCCCGTTCAATTGCTTTTACCTAATTGTCTCAAATTAGCTCTAATATTTTGATAATCCCTTGGGAGTTAGCGGCTACTACGACATTAGACATCTGCCTCCAGCACACCGCGGACACGAACTCGTTCAGATCTTCCTCCCTTCTGTCCTGCACCTCCAATATGCTTCGAACCGCGTCGAATTTGTACGAGAACAGCTGCTTCGTCAGTCCTTTGTAGTATACGTAGAGCGCGTTGTTTTCCGACCCGCAGGCCACATAATCGCCGTCAGTGGCGAGTCCGACAAAATTTTTCTCATTCACGTGACCGACGAACGATCGGAGGCAAAGCGGATTGTTTATATTCCACATCTTCAGCTGGGAATCCGTACTGGCCGACACAATTTCCTCCTTGTTGATGAACTTGACGTAGGATACGGCCTTGCGGTGGCCCTTGAATATGCACAACGCCTCCTTCATGTTGCGCAAATCGTAATAATGTACACAGTGATCCGCCGAACCAAACGCCAGGTGACATGAGCTGCGAGGATTAAATTTCACACAACACACGTTTGCCTTCGCTTCCAACGACGCTACGGAGTAATCTGTGTTCAACGCCCACAACTTGACCCGGGCGTCGTCGGAGCCGGACGCGATCAATCTGGTGTCGACGTCGTTGAAATCCACAGACCAACACCTCTTCTCGTGCTCTTGGAAGGTCTTTGTCCTTTGACCGGTCGTCGCGTCCCACACCGTCACCGTACCCTCGTAATCCGAAGAGGCAAGCATGCCCTTGTGAAAAGAATTCCAGGAGACACACGAGATCTTCGAACTAGAGACCATCTCGATGGAGGGATAGTGAATGTCGACAGTGTCCCGTATAACGGCGCCGTAATCGAACACCTTGATACGCTTAGTGACACCGGCGATCGCGAAGAATTCGTTGTCTTTGTCGAACTCGATACTGGACACGATTGTGGAGTTGTTGAAGAGATCCGACGAGTAGTTGAGAGTTGCCAGCGGCCGCAGGGAATTATACCTCGAGAATTTGACAAGGTTCTCGCGAAAGATGTCCAGACCGGAACTCGTGCTGTGCACGCCGCCATGCTGAGCCTCGCTCTGAAACTGCGACTTCTGGCCGAGCAGTAACTCCTTGCCGCGCGAGTCGAAGTAACATTGAACGAAGTCGTCAAAGTGGGCGTGCAGCCGTTTCCTGCGTGTGGCCAGGGTCGAGCCGCCGGGCTGCGCGACGTTCGGACTGACGAAAGCGTCGGTAACGCCGGTGGCCGTTTTGTCGCTAGGTTTCACCATATTCGAGTCTATAATATCCAAGAGGCCGAGCATCTCCCGCCTGATGGCCGACACCTGGGCGGTGTCGTTCTCGCTCGCTTTCTTCACGTCCTCGACCCGCGGGCACTTGCTCTGCACGTCCTTGAGAATGTTCTCCACCTCCTCCATGTCCTTCTTGATCAGCGCCACCTCCTTCTGCAGCTGGTTGCGCTGCTCCTCCTTCTGCTGCAGCAGGTGCTTGAGGAACTCGTGCAGGAGCTTGTTCTGCGCCGTGCAGGTCTCCGCCTCGAGCAGGTGCTTCCGCTGGGTCAGCACCTCGAGCATGACGTTCACGTCGGGCAGAGTGAGGTTGGCGCTCTCCGCCGCCACGATGCTACGCCAACCGTCGGACGCGGGCACGGACAAGTCGTTACCCGCCGCCCTGTGCCTCCCGTTGTCCGCGTAGGAGCCCAGCTGGGCCAGGCCCTTGGTTCTCGTTTTGTACTTGGAAACCAGCTCGTCCAGCAGAAAATTCGGAAAAATGTCCTGTTCGCTGAGCGTGAAGCTGCACTTCGGGCAGCGGTCCTTAATCTCTAAGCACTTGGCGATACAGTGGTGACAGAAGGTGTGCCCGCAGCGTGTGATGTACGCCGTGTCGATGAGATCGAAGCAGATCGGGCACATGTAATCGTTGCTCTTATCCTCTAATATCCCGGTCATCCTCTGTAGCACGTTCGTAGGCGGATGATGCTTATTAATTTTACCGCTACCGTCGCCTAATCCACCACTGCTCCCCGCGCTGCTATCGTTGCCCATATTACCGTCGCCAGGAGTCGACATTACTATTATTACTCTACTCCGACCCCCGTGTCAGTCTTGAAGCAGTGATGGTTGTTAATTAATTCAACGATTAACGCAGCTTAAAAATCTCCTACTTTCCGAACACTTAGTTTTCTTTTTCATCTGACGTCGCGTCGGAAAGAATCTATCATAAATCAGGCAGTATTATATTACTCATTTATAAAGCGCAGCGTGTTTCTTAGGATATCCTTGTGCGGAGCAAGTTGCGCTTCATATCATGCGTATAATACCGTCTCTCTCTCTCTCACTCTAGTCACTCCTGAAACAATGAAAATAATGCCGGTGAGCTCGTGATGCGCAGAGGCGACTATCGTTGTTGAGAAAAATTGAAATAAACTTTCGACAACAGAAGTAATGCTTCATATGAGAACTTTCGAGATAAACAAAGGGAAAGCACTTTTCAATGTCAGATATAAAGCTCAGGCAGCATTATATAACAATTGTTTCAGGCTGGAAATATGAATAAAATATTTAAACATGTTACATCGTATGACAAAACGAAAGTGAAACAACAATTTGGAAGTGCAATGCCGCGTGTACAGGAGGGGGTGGGAGCGGGGGAGAGGGAGGGTCTTTCTGCACACGTCGCGGTTCTACGTGCCGGCGTACGCGCTAGTTAAACAAAGTACGTGCCAAGTGTGTGTGTATACATGAGAGAAGGTCATCTTCATCGAGAGAAGAGAGCGGGTTCAATATGGAGAAAAAAAGAGGCGGGTTCCTGATATAAACATACGTGTCCAAATAGTCAACACAGAATAGTCTGGAGAGTATACAGTCTACATAACAGAGGCGCACACAAGGGGTACACAGCCTTGTTAGGGGGGGAAAAAAAAACTACGCGAAACGCCAACAGACGCGCGAGCGCGCGCGCGCGTGCCGCGGCGCGAATGCCGTTTCTAGAGTCGCGAGGATGCGCAAAAGAGAATTTACAGCGGTGGTTAGGTGGTAGCAGAGGGCACGGGAGACTTACAGCAGGATGTGCTTCAGCAGCTTGCCCTTGACCAGCTCGTTGTACTTGGCCGCCGTAGGGGTGAGCGCGACGTTGTCCTCGCTCTCTGTTTCGTAGACACCCAGTACCAATCCCGTCTGCGGAAAGAAAGGGGACAAGTGTGTCAGGGGGGCGGGCGACAAGCGGGTAACCGGGTCATCGGGCGAGAGCCCGGATGTACCCGGGAACTCGAGGGGGATGTCGGGACGTCGGCGCTCGAGCCCTCGCCGACGGCGGGCAGCTCGGACGCGGCCGCGGCCGAGGTGTCGCCGAACGCGGAACCGCATCGTGCTCGCGGATCGCGCACGCTACGGTTTTTCTCCCCTCGGCGTGAACGGCGGGACGCGGGAATCCCTCGCGTCTCGCCGTTCTCGAGAGGCGAACGCGCCGCGCCAGCCGACGACGTGGGGCCGCGCGCGATTACCTTCATGGTCGATACGCTGGCGAAGAGACGCAGGTGTGAATTTCCGTGCTGTACTGCCTGAGCTCTGATAAAAGACAATGCCATAATTCGCTCCCGCGACCATTAGGCGCGATACATATATACCCGCCGATTGTGGGGTCGCGCGCGACGGCGGCGACGGGACGGCGATTCCGATTGGCTGGGACTTGGGCCACCGTTCATTGGCGGCGCCGCGCGAGACGCGAACCGCGCGAATTACGAACGCGCGGGGAGATCGCGCGCTCTCGCCGACGATGATCGGGGGATCTTGCGGGGGAACTGCGTAGATATGGGTAGATTGTGAGCTTTTTCACAATCTGTATGCTTGGTAACAAAACGAATGTGCGGTTTTCTTGTCCAGATCTTTAGTCCCAGTCTACAATAGATGATTTGAGCCTTATTACTATTATATTACTTTATTTTCATCATTTTCTTCAATATAATATATTATATTAGCCTTAAGCCTTAAGAAATTGACCAATCACGGTCAAGTATGAGTAAGTCCCAGTCTACAATAGATGATTTAAGCCCTAAGCTTTAAGAAATTGGCCAATCACGGTCAAGTATGAGTAGAATGCGCGACTGTG